ATGTTCATACATGCATATATACATACATCGATGGTCCTCTGCAATACAGACATATATTAAAATTCAAAAAAATAAATCCCGCACGACCTTTAAGTGGTTCATGTATCTAATCCTAATCTAGTTCATGCCTATTCCTTACTAAAGTAAGTAGTGAGGATTACTACAGTAAGTATTATTATTATTATTATTATTATTATCAGGGCCATATAGCGCTGCGACCTAGCTAGATCTATTGTGCTAACCCTTATCAAGTCACTCCAACCTTAAAATGTTAATAAAACTAAGCATGTTCCAGATTCTGGATGGGGCGATAGTCGCTCTCCCAGGTGTATAAGTCTGAGTTGAGTTATACGCGAGAAATCACATAGTATATGCTCCCAGGTTTCACCCTCTAGCCCACAAAACCTGCAGTTTGTCTCCTCTGACAGCCGCATCTTGTGCAGATGCAGCCTGCAGTGTCCTGTCAGGTATCCGGTGAGAGTTCTAAAACCCTCTCTGCTAAGATTTAGCAACCATAAGTAGTAAGTATTAAGTATTAGACATGGATTACATGGATTAGACAAGGATCAGAAACATGAGCAACTAAACAGTAGTAATCTTACATATTTTTTTTTTTTTAATTTTGAATTGTGTCGCTATTGCTGTCGAAATACAAAGCAAGTTAAATAAAAGCTTGTAAAAACAGAATAAACCAAACAGTAAAGCTTTTATCAAAAAAAAAATATATATATGTTTGTTTTAAATTTCTAATTCTATTCAATAAGTGTTTGAACATTTTTCGTCTTCTCTTGTTATTTTAAAAACCTTTACAAAAATTAAGAGTTTTTTTTCGATCTTTGACCACAGTACGTTCAATAGTAATGGATTGCAAACGTGTGCGTATAAATGCAAGTATGCTAAATAAAAGCATATTTTTGCTGGTGTTTGCGAGACAATTTCACACTATTGATAATAATATTTTTGCATTTTGTGCAAATTAAAACACATCATTTTAATAACATTTGGTAATCAATGTTGAAATGCATGGCTTTTAATTTATGTCAAAGTAAATAGAATTTGTAAAAATCAAATGTTCACTGTGCTAGTGGGCATAGGTAAGGCTGAATAGCGTGGTGGGTAACGCTTTTCAAGTACATAGTTCAAAAAGCTCAACCAATATTTACTTTAGCAATGCCACAACAAATAGCGCCGTACAGGACAACACACTACCATTACCTCACCTATGTACATACACCCATATTATTAGTGCAAAAACAGAATGAGTTTGAATAAATATTTTTGTTTACTGTTATTGTCCTTTCACAGGCGATCACGTTCCCATTAAATTACAGTGGATGTATAGAGAAACGATTCTTATTTGTGTAGATATCAACTTTTATTTATTTAAATATATAAATATGTACATATGTACGTTTGCGCAGTCGTTATTTTCTTTGGATTTTCATAGCAGCAGAAAAACAGTTTCACAAATTCATAATAGTTACGATAATTAGGCACTCAAAATAGATTAATTTAAAAATTTAATATTTGAGTTAACTTGAAATAATGCAAATTATTTTTCAAACACTATGGCTACATAGAGGAGCAAGGCCTCGAAATGTAGAAATGTAGGATTTTAAGGCACTAAAACTTGAAAAAGACAAAATGAGCTTTAAAAAAGGCAAAAAAGGCATATATTTCTTAATTTTGTTGTGTACTATCTTTATGTACAATGTGAAAGTCCAATTAAAGATATAAAAAAAAACATACAGTGGTCAAAAAATTATAACCGAACCACTTTTTGCCAAGTTTTAACGTATTAAATTTGTTGCTATTGAACTTTTGTTATTTTTTCAAATAAAAATATAGTTCATTCTTTAACAAAACCCGTGGAAATCCATGTTTCCAAATTTGAGGAGTCCACTTGCAAAGGCGCTACGTGAATTTTTTTAGATTTTTAGTTTTTGGTGAGTAACGTACCAGTATTTAAAGTAGTTACATGTCCACTAACAACACAGTGCAAAATCTTTCTATTTTCTAAAAAAATAGCATCAAATGTTAACTACTATTGCAAAAATCGCTATAATACTCATGTATGTATTTATACACTTTCAAACGTCTCCATCTTCTGATGAACTTAGAAAACTGCAAAAAAAAACTTGGTATTTTCGGTGCCTAGTGGAAGGCGTCGTAAAAAAGAAGCAGACCAATCTTCATGGAAGAGCGAAGTCGAAAAGCTAAAAAAAGATAGCTATGTAAAAGTTACTGTTTCAAAACTCGCTATATTCAATTTTAATATATAAAATTTGCAAAACTACCACACTGGGATATTGTTTTTTAATGTTATTAGGCTCTTGTTTATCCAAATTTTCAGATAATAAAGAGAAATACACAATTTGGATGTTACTTGTTGATGACGTTTTTTTAATTTATGGCTCACTATTATAAAATCACATAACGCTGTCTGCAAGTGGACTACTCATTTGTGCAATACTAGAGAAAAATCAACAAATCTTCGTGTAAATAGAATTCAATGCGCAACAAAACTTCATACTCAGAATTGAATTAAAAAACTCGAAATTTCATGAAAATTTGTAGATTTTTTTTTTTAAATTGCATAAATTTTTAAGGCGGTGTCACTCATTGGTACATTTGTTACAGATTTGCAAATTTTTATATTGGGCTATTGGTAAAAAAATTGGAAGTTTTTTTTGTAGTCAAAAGATTGGTACAATACAGCGATGTTCCATTGAAAAATTTCAATAAATTAATTTTCGTGATTGGGATAGTGAAAAATATATTGGGTGTTCAAACAATTGGGATACGATTTACACCAAATTTTGGCAAAAACCCAATCGTGTGACACTGCCTTTAAACTTTTATTTATACGGATGTTGGTAAAGAACGAACTATAAAAACTAACCGAAATTAAATAACAACAAAAATAATATTTTAAAACTTGTCAAAATTTTGTGCGGCTGTAATTTTTTCGACTACTGTACATAAGTTGGCTATGATTACTCGGCCGTGCTATCATAGTAGCACAATGCCAATCATATTTCACTTACAAACAAAATACGGGCAGGGATTTCAAGATTTCAACCCTCTTTTTATGAAAAAATTTATTTTTATCAGTATTTTTCTTGTAATCAAAATTTTGTGGAAGTAAAAGTGAAACTAAAAAAAATTTTACCAGAACCAATTAGAATTATTTTCGTAGCCCGAAGGCATCGACAGTTGCTATACATCGCGCATATTAATAATTCAAGAGATATCACCCGTGGGTCGGCGTTTCCACAGGTTTCATACTATGCCAACAATTGGTTTATCTAGGTTCAGAGGAAATGTGAATACATTTTCATAAACACATAATCAATGCCAGATGATTCGGTAATAACAAATTATCTATAACAACATTGAGCAATAGTAAACTACTTTACTTGAAAATGTGATAATGTTCAGTGTTGCCGTTGTGCAACTAAAGGGGCAATTTGACTCTTTTTGGGCGCCAATACCCTTTGAACCGACTTTTTGAAATTTTTGATTTTTTTGCCCCTTTGGAAAATTATCTGCGACTTTTGCCCCTTTTCAGGGATTTTGCTTCAGGAATTTTTAAGAGAACCATGCTATTAAAAAATATTTCCTCCTGTAAGTACGAAAACATGCACCACTTCAAACTTTTAAAGGAAATGCAACTCGTTCTCTTTGCAGGCAACTCGGTTTCTATGTTTTGTTTAAAGCTTCTCCCGCTATTTTCTTCTTAAAGCGAAAAGACTTTATAATACATGTAAATTTGATTTTGTTTTGGGATCTCAGATTTATTTTTTTTACTAGTAAAGAAAAGCAAAAATTTTATAGTGACCCTTTTTTGTCAATTACCCCTTTTTTGCGACTTTCCGAAAATTCTCAACCGCAACACTGATTCTGTTTAAGGGTCAGTTTCACAACGACGGCTTCTGTCATAATCGTCAGTCGACTGTTAACTGCCGAATGAGAGTTAGCTCGTACTGTTGTAAAGGTTTTACGTATTTACGCGCTGAGTACATTTTCTACTCTACAATCTACTCTAAATAAAAGCGAATTCCTTTTACACTTTCACAACATCCAAAGTATGATTGCCAGTGGAAGCTCTATATTAAACGGATACTCTAGGTCTACCAGAAACATTTATAACTTAGGCGGCTATCATGTTTTAATAAGTTTGTGTATTTAAAATCATATTAGATAGGCAAGCTGTTAGCAAAGTGGCATATATAAATATAATAATACAACAAAACACTTGCGACAATCAAGCAATTCATTATTTAGAAACAGCGCAGTGCGAACTATACCAAGCGACCTGCCAAGGAAGCAACAAAAGGCTTAGAGTACAACGAATAAAAGTTGCGCAAGCAGTTAGTTTCCATGCTATGAAATGAAGAGTGAAATTTAGATAGTAAGGCAGCAAGCGGTCTAAAGTGTCGTACACAAACCTTTTTAGGAGAAGATAAGTGGAGTGTAGTAGTAGCAGTAGTAGTAATAGTAGTAGTAGAGGATGGCGATGGCATAGAAGAACAATCAGAAGACGCCGAACTGCAGCTGCTGCCAGTCGACAAGTTGCCCTCGACGCAGGTCGCAGCGATAACGCATGCAGCAGTCCCTTTCTCGTCCATCAACTCCGCCTCCTCCAAATCCATTTCCGCTGGCTCGTCGGCGCTCGCTGTGCAAAGCACTGTTTCAGTTGTCGCTACACAACGCGTCTCGTCATCACCGCGACAGTCCCAAGCGGCTGCCACTGCACTAGCCGCGCCACGACGGCCAGTACCGCCATAGTGTTGGAGGAGTACGGCGTTGTGCACGCTGTTGCCGCTGCTGCTGCGTTTCACAAACGTGGTTGGCGCGTACTGCGGCACGGCTAGCAGCCCAATACCGCAACCGCCTTTGCGTTTGATGGCACCGATGCCGGGGCCGACAGCAGTTGCAGTTTTGGCTGCAGTACGAGAACTAGTTGTTGCAGATAGATTAAGCATGTTATTATTTACATTGTTGGATGGTGTTGCGGATGCTGGTGTGGCTGCAACTGATCCGACATTGTTGGCATTCGCCGCAGCTGTGGCAGTGGCCGTTGCGAACATGGCGGCAGCAACCGCAGCAGAGCCATTACAGGCCGCCGCCGGTATTATTGTGAGCTGGTGTGGCGGCGCGGCCGCTGCAGTGGCGGCGGCAAAGTACTGCTGTTGAGACGGCGGTGGTGGAGGCGATGCCATTTGCTGTTGATGCTGGTAATGTTGTTGCTGTTGTTGGATAGCGGCAGCGGCAGCAGCAGCAGCAGCAGCCTGATACTTGGTGGGTGTGCCGGTGGCGGCGGCCAGGTTATTCGCCTGCAATTGCATGTAGGTGTGCAACATTTGCAGTTGTTGCTGCTGCTGTTGATGTTGCTGCTGTTGAAAATGATATTGTTGTTGCAGGTGGAATTGCTGCTGTTGTTGTTGGGCGTGCTGCGCTGTGTGCTGTTGCAGCATGCTGGCCGGGTATGTTTGGTAAGCGGACGCTGCTGACGGAGGCTGTGATGTCGTCTGGTGCAACTGATGCAGATGCGTCGCCGCCGGGAGAGCTTGCAACAATTGCATTTGCTGTTGTGAAGTTGGGTTCATTTGTTATTTTTTTTTGCCTTTTATGCGAAATGCAGTGAAATACATTCTATTCTTTTTATGTGTGTATGTATTTATGACGTGATAGTGGTGGTTATTATAAATAAATTTTTCAAAATGAAAGCATAAAAATATGAGTATCATTTATTAAATATATATATATATATATATATAAGACATAGTTGGTTTAATCAAAATGTAAGATAAGTTATTTAGTGCGAAGTAAGACAGAGAAAGAGAGATAAAGACTGATATAGAGCATCAAGTGATAGGTGTTTAAACAAGAAGCAAGAGAAGGAAGAAAAAACAGTGAGAACAGCTACTGATAATAAGTGCGAAAAAGTGGAGAAAAAAGAGCAGAAAGGAATCGTTGTTTCCAAACAGAGCATGAAGAAGATTAATTTTTCCTTTTGTGTTTTTATAGTTGCTAAAATTATTAAAGCTTAACAGCTACCACTTGACCCGAGAGAGTGAGCGATAGCGAGAAGATTGTAATTTTGAATAGTGCAGCTCGATGAAAACTTGAAGGAATCAATATGCAAGAAAAACTAAGAAAAAAAGTGTAAAGAAAGACGAAAAGTTTAAGAAGGCGAAAAGTAGAGGCGAAAAGCTGAAAATGCAGTGAAGCGTTCGCTACAAATAGGAAAAACTCAGAACTCTCTACATCCTTAGTTATATGTAGCTGAATAAAATTAATACATAGATTTTTTTTCCAAATCCTTTAGTTATAGAAATGTGAGTTCAGACGAAACGGGTGCTTATCTGGCGGTAGCGGATTTTCAATAACAGATTATGAAAAATGTAAAGTGTATAAAAAAAAAATCTAAAAAGTGACCGCCGCAGCTCTTTCCCCTTGAAGAAATTGTTATTTTCTGTACGAGTATACATAATTATGTTAGATACGTGGTTGCTATTTCTGACAGAAGTTCTATGTTTTTGTGTGCTTTCTTCAAAGATTTTGTGGAAAACAAAGTGTTGCGATAACTTTAAATACATGTGCCAATGCTACTTGCAAATGTAGTTTTTTAAGCATCAGTGATTTTACTAAAAACGTTTTATATGAATGTATTTTAAATCCTAAATTTTTGGAAACCTTTAGTCTTTTATATACGGTAATTCCGTATTATAGGTAACAAAGAGGTAGTTATGGCCTTCTATTTGGTTCCCCAGCACATAGAAATAAACCAATGGACTTGGCAATTTGTTTAAATGTATTCTTAACATTGTGGGCCTTGAAAATATCAACAGCTAAGTTGGCCCAACAAAATTTTTTATATGAAGGGGTTAAAATCAAAAGGATCTAAGTAAATCTGAAATTTGTTTGAGATAATTAAGGTTAAAGTGGATTACTTATAGTAAATGCTGGGTAAATGCATTTGAAATGATTCTTGCAGGTTAATTAACTAATTCAAAGAATGTTTACTCTTTGTCACCAAATAAACACTATATTTAACTATACAAATATGGGTAAAATTTATATTTAAAAAAAAATGTCACTTAGAACCTTATGATACTAACCCCTTCATATGTAAGTTCGCTATATCATGCTACACGTGCAAAAAGAGCATCATTGGAAAGTTAACAAATTAAATATTTTTTGACATGCCTTTGGCTTTTTATTTTAAAAACTGCAACCTATATTCTCAAAATATTTTAGACTATGTCATATTCGGTAACAGGATTGATTTTTTTTTTACATTTTTCGCGTGATGGTGTTTCAAAGTGTTTAGGTTTATGCATTTTTCAAGTAACTCTAAAAACCAAAAATGTCAAAAGTTGTCTCTATTGCGTTCAGATGCAAATGAATTACTCAAAGAAAATATTAATTTCAGGAGGTCTAGAAAAGCGATTCTTTTCCACTACATATATGTATGTACATACATATATTTATTGAGTGACTTATATGATTTTAGCTCTTTCAATTTTCAGTTGGTAGCAAGAAAAGGGAAAATCTCCATATCTCCGCATTCAAAAGTTGTAAAAATTTAAAAGATAAGAGGCAATTTAGGAGTTGCATTTTCTAGGCTCCATTAATCTTGTTTATCTGTAAATATAAAAACGCTACCCCACTGAGTATTTAATAAATTTTGTACCTACGATGTGCTTTATTTTCAACCTGCGTTGTTTGCCAACTGTAATGTTGTTGTTGGCCAGTGGTGCGCACCAACATACATTCGTGGAGAAGCTCTGCCAAACACCCAGCAAATTGTGGGAAGTGCCCATTTTCTTTTCTTTTTTATAAGCTTTTATTTAACTTGTTTAATTATATTGTCGTTATTGAATACTTCTCTCAGAAAATCAGCCGATGAATGCAATTTTCACGGTTTCATCTATCGACGCTATTAATAAAATGAATCCACCTTTCATGTACATGACTGGTCGAGGTTTTGATCGAATGTTTCAGATTGTTTACTAATCACCCTGCAAAACTCGAAATCCGCAAAACAAACCTTTGCCTTACGAAAATGTTTTACGTAACGATTTTAAGTCCATTTATTCAAACAACTGCGGTAAACATGGGGATTTTATTAGGGACCATTAGTTGGACAAATCCATTTAATGAAAATTTCCATGGCACATGTAAATAAAAATATCACAACACATAACTAAGTAATAAATAGCTACTCGCGAAAAGTATGAGTGCGTTTTATTTGCAGCTGAACTTTAATTTTTTCCCCGTTTACATTTCGCAGTTTTACTGAGTTGTGTACCACTTTATATTTGTTTTTAGAAAAAATGGAAGAAGCAACAAAGTCTAAACGGTAAAAGGTATAGTTGCTATTTCCGAGATCATAAGATTTCTTTTCTAGGCTTCAGCAGGCATCGAACCCGCATCATCGATATGCAAAAACAGCAACGCTAACCGCTCATCTTAGCATGCACCGTAAACTCTCGTTGCTTATCCATTTCGTGTATTGTGTTTTTTTGTTTCATTGGCTATTTTATTTCTTACAAAAAATATACTGAGTTTGTTGTTTCGTGATTTATTTTATGAGTTCTCTTACCATAATTAAATCTTGCACAGGTTCTTCTTTGATTGTCGCTGTTGCCAAAGCCGCTGTCACTGAAGCTGTTGTTGCAACCGTTTCTTTTAACGCGTCAATGATGAATGATTTTTGTACCGCTGTGGTTGTTGTTGAATTATGTAATTTATATATTTTTTCTATTCGACTTTAGCGCAGTCTTTCACACTTCAATTTTCACTAGCACAGTGGATACTGACGACGAGTCGTTTTTTAAGGAACTGTTCCAGTTAAGTTTTAATAACTTTTTTATCTTTAATTATTTGGTTTTGTTTGTTTCTGTTTGAACGTTATTTCCTTGGTTTATTATAGATACTTTTGTGTATGTGGTACTTGTTTTTTTTTTGAGCTTCAGTTTCTTAGCTGATGTTTTTGTTGAATATTCTTTTAGTGATATTAGCGCGGTTTTGATTTTTACTACACTTTGAATGTCGAGTTGTAGTCGCGTTTTGTGGTATGCAAAGGACTTCTTAAGGAATCGGATGGCAGGGTTCGACAAGGTTTTTGATTTGTTCAATGTGTGGTGAGTTCAGAGTAATGATTGTGGTTAATGATTTCAATAAATTTGCAATTTTCTTCTCACAAATTGTTGCTTTACAATACTTGAGTTTTGTTGTTTAATAATTTTTTATTTTCAATATGATGGTACTTAAACGCTATATATGCAAGTTAATCTCACTTTTGAGTAATTCGCTAAGATAATACTACAAAGTTTGTGCTACACGATTTTTTGTTTTATTTTAACTACAAATTTGTCAAGATGAAATTCGCTAAAAAGAGTTTTTCTATTTTGGATTTTGGATTAATATTTAATGTTTGGAATTAGCTTCCTTATTCACTGATTCAATGATAATAAGCGAAATACTCTAAAAGTACTTAATCGTTTGTTAAAATCCTGTATGAGCTTTGCTTTCAAGGTAAAAGTTTGAAACGCTTCAGATTAAATGATATTTTCCAATGATTGTTTCCTGTATTTGCTTACAAGAAATTGTAGATTGTCACAAGTGTGTGATTGAAAAGACACAGCGAGCGTTTGATTCACGTGTAGATACCACAAATAGTTGATTACAGCTAGAAATATATATGTATAGATATATGTATACGATGTGATATTTAGTGAAAGATTGTCAATACGTTGTGCAGAAGTTTATCTTTTGATTTGTTATGTTTTTTTTTTTTAATACATGAACCTATGAGTTAAATCACGTCAAAGATACGCTACAAATAGTAAAATATTTATTAAAGAGTTATAGTTAGTAAGTTGGTTAAGTTTGAATGTATGTAAGCTATTTAGTATCGAAATACGTTTAATTTGATTATTTAGTCATACAAAGAGTAATAAAATGTAAAGTGTGTGTGCTTTTTATTTTTTTTTATAGCACATAGAGGTCTAAGAAATATTTGTTTGCACAAATGTGGGGCTTGGATTGTCAAGTTAAGTTCAAGATTAAGATTGATTGAGAATAAGATTTTCACTTTTCTTTTTCCTAAATAGATCACACAGCGCCTTGTAGTTGAGATTGTAGATCGCAGAATTTGTATAGTTCAAAGATTCGGGCTTTTGTAGAATTTGTAAAGGTTGTATCGATTGTAAGGTTGTAGAGCACACTAGTTGTTGCTGGATTTTTAGAGTGCTCGCTACTTGTAAAATTTGAAAATAGCAAATATAATGTACTACTTCAGTTAATTCTTTTAAATATTTTCTACTCCCATAAATACGTCTGCCATACAAATACTATTGAAAGTATGTATTTATGTGTGTATATTTGCTAACGTTCGCTGATTGTCAAAACGCTTACTTTCTTGTCAGTTTGGTGCGTCGTTGATTGTTGCACCAAAGCTGAATCGGGTCTTAAAAATATTGAATCTTAGTCTGCCTAATTGGGTGTCACAGAGAACACTCTCGTGCACTGCTTACCACTTAATTAAATATATTTCAATTCTTTTGTTTAATTACTTTGTATTTCTGCTTTTTCTTTTTATTAGTTTGGAAATATTTCACAAAAAGGATACATTCGGGAGTGATGAGATTTTTCCCTTTTCAATTTATGCACATTTATGATTGACTAATGGTTTGGTTTTCTTTGCTTTCGCGCATATAAATATGTCTCGGAATTGACTTTGATTACAATGCTACTTTTGTGTGGGTTTTGATATTTGCTTTTTTTGTTACGTAAACAACCTTTTTACAATACTTTTTCTACTGATTGCACTTTTCACTTCACAATTCCTTACTTTTTTCCTACACTGTTGCCTTTCGTTTAATACTAAAATTGTCCTAACACTGATATGTAATAATAAAATTATTTGTTTGGATTCTTCTGGCTTTCTATATTTTATTTTATTTGGTTTTTGTATTTTGCTTTTTTAAGTGTAAAATCAAATATTCAACAACCTCTGGATTCCTTTAAAATTAATTTGTTCTCAAAATTACTTTATAAAATTATTTTGGCTGCTATTTATAACTTTGCTCTTCTAGAATTTGGCTAGTTTCCATTCACTTGCTGTGCATTCTGCTATTGTTCTGCAACACTTCCTGCTGTTTTTTATGCGCTGCCCTAATTTTTCTTTATTCTATCCCTAATGGCCGTCAAATTTGTATAAATAGTTTTGCTGTTTAAAGCTTTTTATTTAATGATTTCTTGTAAATTTGTGGCGAGTTTTCAGTGAAAACTCGTTTTTACTTAGATTCCTTTATGTGCTCTTCGTGATAAAGGTTTTTTTTTTAATTAATATTTTGATTTTTAGATGTTTTGAAATGTGTAAATTTCGTACCTGCGGGTGAAAACTTAGCTAATATTTTTTCCAAGTATGTAAGAATTCTGCGCTCAAAGTAAAAGCAAAAACCTTGGCTTAACGTATTTTTTTTATTTCTATTTCAAAATAGCAACAATTTGATGTCGCACACGTTCGAATGCTTTGTTGTTTGTTTTCGAATTGGTTAATGAAAATTTTTAGTGCTTGTGTCAGCGATTTATTTGGATTGGGAAAATAGTTTTGGTTTGATATAGGACAAGATACCACCGAGGTTTTATTAATTTGATATTTGCTGTTGCTGAAATAAATTATATAAAAATATTACAAAATATACATAGATACATATTGACAGGTTTGTAGAAAAAGTTTTGCAAATTAAACTAAATCAGAAATGACAAATGCAAAATTCGTAAATAAATTAAAATCTTGTACTTTTACAAAAAGTTTCAAATGGGACATACAATGTAATTTGGTAGGAGAAAGTTGTCTTTTTATAGCAGAAAATCACCACGTTTCACCACCATATTTTTCAAATATTTACTGAGTGTTATTAAAACCCATTTCCCCAGCAACAATTAAAACTATTTTGAATCATTCTAGATCTAAAATAAGCAAATAATTTATATTTTACTTACATATCCGAAAAGGAATTGAGTATTAGTAAAGTAAATTTCAGTAGAATATTTATGAATATGAAAATCACTTCCAGCATATAAAAAATAACTGAATAACCTGCAGCGACTTTGAAGCACTAAATGGGCATCAAATAACCAACTACTTAAATTGGTCACCAGTACCAAGGAAAAACACTTGTGCAGAATTTCCACTAGTCGTGAAGTGGAAAATAATTCATTCTACTCGCAAAATATCGTGCGTAGATAGGCTTAACGGTTATTACGACATAGTAACTACAACACCTTGTGAACTCCCTAATAGTTCTTTTGTCGTAAGGGTGTCATAATCTAAACAATTCACATATCGTCGTTTAAAGTAGAAAACCGCGTATCAACGAAATGCAAAACCGCGTATAAAGAATGCAAACATATTTCAGGACGAATGCATTATTATTATTATTATTATACATAATCGGCTTTCTGGCTGGTATATTTCAGGACGAATGGATAAGGATTGAGCCAAGAGCTTGTGTGACCTATTACAATTCCATGTCTTAGTAAAAATATCATGGCGGTTAAAAATAGCTTAAATATTATAAGAAAATGTTTTTTGTTTCATTTTTACCACTTTTTAAACTGTAAAGTTCAAAGCCGCATAACGGTTTCTTCTAACAGCCTAAATGAATCGAGATAGATATAGAAATATATACACCAAAATTCTCAGAATGAAGAGCGAAATCGGCTAAGGCATGCCTGACTGTCGGGCCGTCTTTCCGTGTACCCGGTAACTTGAGCAAAAATTTGGATATCTGAATGAAATAAAAGTTGCCCTTTATCCATTGGTAATGAAAATGCGCTAAATCGAACGTTAACCACGCCTACCTCCAATATGACGGTATTTTCGAAGTGTAAAAACTACGATATTTCCGCAAATCTTGGATCCAAATTGCCGAATATAGGTATGTGAAGTAGTATTTTGGCATAAAATAAGACCATTATGAAATTGTTGGAAAATGGCCACCGCACCCACCTACTTATGAAGGAATGCTGCATATCAGTAGCGGCTTCACCAACTTCCACCAAACTCAGTACGAACATTGGTTAGAGTCTCACTAAGGTAAACTTGTTGAACATTTTTGAAATTGCAAAAACAAACCCGCCCACCTCCCATCGGAAATGGGACGACTACATGTCGATGGTCGTCTGCAATAACGACACAACTCAAAAGTTCATATATTTCAGTAGAGCCAGTTAAAGATTTTGTGTTTCGTACTTTTGCAATAATATGTCTTGGAACGAAAATATTCCGGATTCCAGTCATTCTGTAAGGGAAATTTGTAAGCTTTCAAATTATAATTTTTTCTAAAGATTTAGTTGCAAGTAGTTAGATTTTAGACTGCAAAGGTACGAAATAAGTAACAACTTGTAATTAGTTAAACGAAAAAAAATCCATTTGTATTGCTGAACAACGGCACAAAACGAAAAGTGTCGTTATTTTACATAAATGCATGACTAACCTATCGAGAGTTTTTGACTTATGCCAATATTCACGATAAATGTGAGACCACTGTTCAGTAGTAAGGGTTGACTACTTCGGTTTTGTGACAAATGGCAAAACTGCGATTGTGTCGGATTGGTAACAACTAAGCCTATGTCGATTTGCCACTGAAAAATGTGGTTATTTATAAACCTAATCCGCTATATAACTCAAAAACATGGAATTTCGAGTTGTGCCGTTATGACAGAGGACCATCGATATGACGCCATGGGATTAGTTAACTGTGATAAATTTTAAAATGAGTGTCGCTTGTTCCATAATTTGATGGTATACCATGTAGCTTTGAGTCCTAATATTAAGAAATATGTTTAAAAAATTATCACATCTGACACTATTTTAAGCAGGTATTTAAGTACAAAAAAAAATTGGGTTAAGCCACTTTTTCTCTCCGGCCTCATATGTGCATCTCGAAAATCGTCCTATCAATTTCTATCAAACTCGGTAAAGTTATTGCCCTTGGTACAAAAACGAAATATGTTGGACATTTTACAAATCGGAATTAAATTACCCCCACTTCCCACATAAAAGGAATATCGATAAATACGAAAACTTGTATATTTCTATAGCTAAGGGCGCTATTTTACTCAGAGTTAATATTTAACGCAATCTCTTAACAAGAAATACGATTATTATAGATTTTTGAAAAATGGGCGTGGAACTGCCCACTTACATACATAAGTTTATCTCGGTAAGGGATTTATCGATTTCTACCAAACTCGAGATTTATACTTCCTTACTTGTGTGGATCATGACCCCTTACAGCAGAGGAATATTGTAATGACATGGGTATTAATTAATGCTCAACTTTCCCATACAGTTTATGTCATTTAGTGTCCCGTGGAAATTCGGTATTAAATTTTTTTTAGTTACCAGAAACTAAAGGTACAATTAAAAAAAAAAACAAGCAGTAAATAAGACTCTTAAAACAATAGTGTGCGTTATTAAAATAGTAAGTGTAGTATGTATAATAAACAGATATGTTAGTGGATGAAAAACAATGTAGTTTACCAACTGAATGCTTTGTTTTCTTGTTAATGTGTCAGCTTTTTGAATTAGACACAGAGTGTTACGGAAGAAACCGAAGTGATTTAGGCTGCAGCAGCAATTAATTTTTCAAAACTTGTTGCTATTCGTTTCGCAATTATTCGTTATTCTTTGTATTTATAATTTCTCGCAATTGTTCTATTGGCTTTTTTCGTCTCTTATTTTTGTGCTTTTTTCACGATATGCACACGCACTCGCACTGAAATACTGAAGATATTATTAAATTTTAGACTAATTTCTTGGCAAACAAAAAATCTGTTATAGTTCTTAAGCGTCGTAATTATTACGGAATGAATGCGCGCGTAAGAAATACAATAATTATTTGGAGCCACGCACAACCTCCACTCCTCTTCATTGCCGTGAAATTATATACATATGTATATTTTTTTCATATTTAAGCTACATACAATATGTATGTATATAGATGTATACATATGCATGTTTTTTGAAGCCTAATTTTTAATGGCGTGTAGAGAAGCGGAGACCGAAGCTAAGCCCAAAACTCTAGCTCGTGTTCCAAAAACACGTTAGGCCATAAGAAAATACAATGAAAGCAGTTTGATAAAATCGTGTCTTATTTTTTGGACTGGATTTTTGGATTTTCTCGGCTTTGAAATCCTTCTTGATTTTAATTTGCGTTTTTTGCCATCTGATGTTGATATTAAATGTTTTTTTTTAGTTTTTTTTTTTAGCTTCGCTTTCTTGCTTGCAGATACGCTTGGCGCGGTTTTCGTTTCGCACGCACGAAATTAGTTAACATGTTTTACCGGTTTTATTTGCTTGACTAACACACTGATAACTTTTGGCAGCTACTGCCGTTTTTGTGACTGCTGCTTATACCTCTAGAGTCTAGAGAGCTTACTTCTCTTGTGTTTAACTTAGAAATTTCGTGCGCACCTTTGTTTTTTGCACTGAATTTGTTTGCCACTGTAAGAAGTTTTCAGTAATTTTTTATTATTTGTCGCTTGCTTCTGGTTTATTTTTTGAAGGGTATTTGTTATAAATGCTACACTTGTATAACGAGTGTCGAAATATTGTTAATGATTCTCTGCCAGCAGCAAAACCGAAATGAACGAGCCGGTGAAAAGTTAGAAGAAAACGTAGCAGAAGAGTTTTAAGTATAGCATGTACCTAAGGTGAGAAAAGAGCAAGAAAACAAAAAGTGGCTTTAGAATTCGAAAAGGTAGCTATGGAAAAGTAGGCAAGAAGTGAGGAGCACTCTACTCAAGTCAAGCGATTAATTCGTATGAATCGCAGGGTCAGCGGAAGTGTCTGGCTTAAAGTGAGAAACACGTGTAAGTCTCGAAAGCCCCTGTTTCCCTTCTTTTTTCCAAATTCGCTAAGCTACGCTTGTGATACGCAGGCGACCCCAGCAGAATTCCACGCTACATATTACATATTACATACACATTTATCAAAGGGTATAAATACACAGGTAAAGCAAAAGGAATCGCTATGTTGTGTGTAGTACGGTTTGAAGAAAACGAGCTCGAAATCCATTTTGGCCACAATGCCCACGATTTCTCCAAATCATGCTGGCGCGGCTAATCACACTTTGCCTTTGTATTGATAATGACGGCACAGTTTCCCAACTTGTTTTGGGGTGCTTTCCTTGATTTCTTGACTTTTTAATTCTATTTTGTATGCGCACATTTCTTGCATTTTCCGACTGCGCTGCTGATGTTTTCCCAATCATTTATTATTTTTATGCTCTTATTGTAATTTTTTCTCGGCCGACCGTACTTGCCGCTTAACGACTGACTTTCTGGCCGTACTGGCTGTCTTTTGATAACATTTTACTTGCTGCATTTTTCTTGTGTGTATATTCCTTTTCAGGTCTTTTCAATTTACTTTTCGCTTTACCTTAAATACTTGTGGTTGTGTTTACTTGTTGGCCTGCATAAAAATGCGTGTAATTCCAAGAATAAACGTTTACTTGTTCAATGCTTTTTTCTTATTCCATCTCTTGGCAACATTTTTTTCTCTTATTCCCATTTTGAATTGTTTTATTGTATGTTGCCATTAAATACATTCTTTCTTTCAATATTTCTGCACTCTTTCGTTATTTAGCGCTCGAGTATTTTCGAGGTTTTGATATTTTTCCTTCACCTCTACTTTATTTACACTCTCGTTGTGTGATTTTGTTTAAGTCTTTCAACTTCTTAATTTATAATTTCGTTTGCGCTCTGCTCGTACGCTCACTCATATGCTCGTTAAGTGCTGGTTCTTTCTCGGCTTGCAAAGAAAACGTGTTTTTGCCGGTTGATGGCCCGCTGTTTTTTTTTAGCTCGCTGACTAGTCATTTCGTCGCTCATTTTGTTGGCCATAATGAAATTTTTATTTGCCCCTTGTGCGCTTCTGCTTCGACCATACTTCTCGCACACTTGTCCGCCTAAGTCGTTCGAGTCGCCTCACCTGCGTTGGTGAATTCATTACACAACTACTACGTTCTGTTTTGGCCAGTTTGAAGGCTGTTATTGCCGATGAACCTGGGCTCCATTTAGGCTGAGTTTTTGCGCTTCTTTCAGTTTTATTTCCTCATATATTTACTGCTTTACCGCACTCACATTTTTTTACTAGCGCACATTCTTTAGCCACTATTGTACTCGTTGTTGTTACTTGAGCACGGCTTAAAAGCAGCACACAAGTATTTTCTTAAAGAATCAATGAACCCTTGCTGGTGCTGCCACCCTGCCAACTCTGTTGTTCAGATTACTTAGCGAATGGTCGGTATGAAGTATGAAACGCTCTTTATAATACCATCCATTTTTTTGCATGCTTCTTACGCGAAAATAAATTTCATGATTTTTTTTTTTTTTTTATATTAAGTAACAGCCGGGTTTTTCATGGAATATGCTTTTTCATAAATTTACATAAATAAAATGAACAAAAGGAGGCCAATTCAAAAGACGTTTTGGATTCTTCGGACCTGTTTGGAGGCCATGACCCATTGGTAGAATATATTTGAATTATCAACTTATACTTTTACTTGACTTAATATCTGCCTTACTTTTACAAAACTAATAGTGAGTCATACAAGAGTAGAAAGATTAGCATTCAATTGGTTAGTAAAATAGATAGTTAGTAAGTTAGTAGAAATACGAGTGTTCTCTAGATTAGAAATAAAGCTCAGCTAAAACGTGAAAATACGCACAGCGCTGACCAGAAAGGAAGTCAGTGTAGAAATTATTTACCAAAAATTAATAAGTGAAAAATTCAAAAACTTTCGGCACAACATTACACTTATTGGCATATGTTTTTGCGGATTGTTCAGCAAGCGCCATAAAATAAATATTTTCCACCTTTTATTGCACAATAACACTAACTTTTGAAATATCACAGACTGAAGAAACTTCAGAAAGTTTTTGTTGACAATATTCTGATCTTCTTGCTTCTTTCTCACCTAAAGAACTTTTTGAAGCTGAATTTCGGATTTACGAATTTATTGGATTTGATTGAGACTGGAAAACCAATTCAACGGAAATGGAAAATATTTTGCAATTTTCTGCTGATATCTGGTTGCTGATTGTGATCGTCGACGTTGTCTTTGTCGTAGTAGAATTCACTAGTAGGTAAAGTTTGCTATCTCGAGAGTCGAGTCCGCGTGTTTCGGTGCTACGGTGTTGCTACTATTGCGGCCGTGTTCGATTTGAACGCAACTTTGATTTGGATATTGAAATTTTGTGTGCGTTCCGCGGAGTCTTCTTCTCCTCTGGAGCTTCTCGTTGGCTTTTGTCGTCGTGTGCTGACGTTCGACTGCTGACGCTTGACTGAGGCTTCGACTTTGACGCTGACTTCGACTGAGGCTTCGAAGTCTATATTCAGAACGGCAGTGACGGCACGACGGTGACGTTTGAGCGGGGGTGAAAGCCTTAATGTTGTTAAATACTGAGACACTGTTGCTGCTGCTGTGGCTGCCCTTAGCGAGTGTGGATTTTGTTTTTGCTGTTGTTTATATTTTCGCCGCTGCAGCTGCTGCTATTTAGATATTTTCGTATTAAATTTTTGTTTTTGCGATAGCGATTCTCGTTATGCTTGTTTCAGATGTTTTGTTTATTTTTGTTGTATTTGATTTTTGTTGTAATTATTTAATAGAGCGACGGCGGACAGAATTGGAACGGGTTAAAGCAAAGACTGTACGAAGACTGAAGTAAGAACGACTGGCATTCTAAGGTAATATACCAATTTTTTATTCGGAGTTCGGATTCTGAATCTGTGGAATTCGTCGCTTGGTTCGTACGGCGTACTTTCGTGCATTCTACAAATGCGAACAGTGAACAACCACCACCAACGAGCGCACAACCGAGCTATGGATATCCGTCCGCTTGCTGCCAACCAGCCTGTTTCATTCGATAACTACTCTCTTCAGGCCACCTTTATGCGTGAGACTGTATACGTGAGGGACAAGTGTGCGCGCGTATGTTTGGCCTCCAGTCCGTTCTTCATCATCGTCATCATCAACATGCATGTTTGCGAAGGCGACGTGCACGCCACCAAATACGGCTTGATGGCAAAGCTATCCCATGCTTGTTGCTCGTGTTCCTCCGGCCATCCGTTTCTCACTTTGTCCATCTACCTTTACCCTAAACACTTGCTTGCTAGCTCCATTTGGACGCTCGTTCGTGCACCTTCCGGTTTTAACGATGTCGATGATGACGAACGGCTTCTGCTCGGTTACGTGTTATCATATGTTTTGCTGTTGCCTATTGTTGCTCTTCTGCCGGTGGTTGATGTTGGCGTTCTAAGTGTTCTTCTCTTCTCTACAAGTCCTAAAGTAACCGAAGAGCGCCTTCTCTTACTTTCCTAATTCGTCGTCGCTCTCATTTTAAGATGTACTTACTTAATTCTTCTCGGCAATTCACACAGGTTGTTGACTGTTGTCTTACCTGATGTTCATTACCGTCTGCTGTGCTGTACACTACTATAACAAATTATAGAGGCGGACTTAGAATACTCTTTTCTTTCACCTGTGCTTGCTTGAATGCTTCTGTTTTTCGCTAACAAAGACACTAAGGCATTTAAACTCTTTCCTTTCTTCTGTGTTGCTCAGAGCCTTTATACCTTATGCACAATACCGGCGAACAGCAAATTTCGCCCAGATGAGCGATGTCGGCGTCCAACTTTCGCGTCACTTGCTGAACACACACATACATATATGGGCAACGAATACACTTTTAACTTCGGAGTGGAAATATTTATTTAATCTTGCTCTAAAAAGTTTAATTATTCGCAAAGGAAAATAAATATATATTCAAAATAAAAAATATTATGTTCATGATGAAGAAGACGTTTCTACAAGACAGAAGAAAGGGATGTGGTGGGTACGCAAACATCACCAGGGAAAACCTTCGCTTTTACGCAACCTGCTTTGCTCAATTAAACGAGAATAGCCTTAGGGAAAGACCGAAACGTTTTATCAGAAGAAGAGAAGTGGAAGGAGACACGTTTGGCTATTATAAAAACCTAAGTTAGTGCAAATTGTTATAATACAATAAGAATTACGTGTATTTAATTAACATACACTACATATCAATGGTATCAATTGATTTTTGATTTTTTGTCATAACCATGAACACCTTTGAAGTCTTCCACAAAGTTAAGGATATGGCGTTTTGGTAATGATACCTCTAATTGGGCCTTTAGGGATTCAGCGAGTAAATTAGAATTTTGGAACAAGAATATTTTTTTTTTTTCAAAAAGTACGATTAATTTTTTTAACCGACTTCAAAAAAAGGAGGAGGTCATCAACTCATCGGAATATTTTTATCAGAACTTAACATAATTTTGGATCAAGTTAACCGTATCTTATGAAAAATGTTACTAAATATACGACTTGGTATTTACTCTGCAGAGTAACCTCTTAGCGCGCTATTTGGAATGAATGACCAGGGACGTAAGATTTTCGACTGAAATTTCTGTTTAAAGACCTTAGACTTGTAAGGAATGCGCATTTCATTTGTTTTGAACGTCGATTACAAGTCGTATTATATTACAAATACACTCGCCTGACCACAAGATTACATCGAATAATTTGCCATTGACATTTAGCGTCAAGCGTCCATGTAAAAGAGGAAAACGACATAAATTTTTAAATTTCACTATTATCTTTATTTCAATTGTAAGCTATAGCTAATTAATCCGTTGAAAGATATTAGAAAAATAAAAAGAAGCTGTAAGTTTTGTCTGTAGAAACTTCACACTAGTCACAAGGGCCAATCCCACCAGACACAATTTTAAATATTTTTAAATATTGCTATGAAGATGATATCAGGTTAATTTTTTATGAAAACGAAAGCTTATATTATATATCTTACAATACATAAGACTCTGGCTTGAAATTAAGTGTTTTGGCTAATTCATTCCCACCAGTCACAATCATTCAAATAATGGCTACAAAGAACTTAGAAATCGTTTGGTATTTTTTTGAAAGAAATTTTATACATTAGTTATTTATCTTTGTTAAAAAATATCTTTCACTGTTGTATGAGTTCCGCCGACATAGTTATAATTCACAATTCATCGCATTTTAGAGTCAATGAGTCCACCAGTCCCAATGGAATGGCCCTCAAGTGTTCTAAATTAATAGATTTTTTAATTTCATCTAAAAAATGTTAAACCAACCATAACTTTTAGTTTCAAAACATTGGCTACTTGCACATATTTATGTGCGTAGATATATGTATACATATTTATATGCAAAAGCGCACTACATCAACAAGTTTCTTCTGCTTATTAACATATGTATAAAATAACAGTCCTGAAACCCAAAGTTAACAAATCAAAAATCGCATACTGTGCTTGACGACGAACAACCATCCTTGCACTTACCCAAAAAAGGTTGTTAAAAAGCGCCAGACTGTTAAGAGGGAAAGCGTTTACATTCACCCTTCGATCTATAACAGTCACACGACCCAAAAGCTGCAAGTGGAATAATCCTGTTGGATTCATGACAGCGACAACCATTCCGGCTCGCCGACCCTCGCCGCGCACCCAAACATTCGACTTAGTAAGTACAGACCGTCGGTCCTATAATCATAGCTTCAACAACGTTGTGGCACGTCATCCCCGCGCTGAATTGCTGCAGTCGGAAAACCGAGCATTTTCCATTGACGATATGTGCGCTTGGCAATTCATGGGGGTTGCACCTATTGTAAAGATAACGGTAGCGACAGAGCGTGCCACTGCTCCGTTTTCACCTTCGTGTGGCATCGTATTTCATCGCATTGCCTTTCAGAAACGACAAAGCGCGCACATTGTGTGCAAATACAAGCTCAAGCTGCCCCCGCCCGCTTTGCTATTGATGCTCGCTTGCCTTTGCCGCTGCGTTGATTGTTATTGTTGGCGTAATAATATTACACTGCCAAATAACCGAGACAGACAGATGAGATAATAGGTGCGAGCGAGAAGCCGCATACGCAGTAAAAGGTAGCCAAACACACTCACAAATATCAATAGAAGCACATGCGTCAAAGAAAAATCAACGAGAAAATAATTGTTTCACCTGCTTGCACATTTCCGACGAAAAGACACACACACACACGAACTTACGAGCCGAATGGCATAGGGGAAAGCAGCGCGGCTCAGGTGAATATCCCCCACGCTCGCACCACCTACGGCACAAAGCAGCGCTGCATGCTCGACAAGCAATACATGTGGGCCATTGCACCCATTGACACACATATCTTGCAATCGTACGAAGTATTAGCGTCGTCGTTTAACTCCGAAGCGTGAAGGCGCAGACTCGAAAACGATGATGGCCCTACATCATCGGCTGGGGAACTAGAACTGTTGGGGTAGATTACAGTTATGGACATTTTCTTCTGCTAAGGATTGTTGTACATAAAGCAGCCGCCAAAGCTTTCACGTCTAAACAGTAGCAGGAGCTTTTAAAAAGCTATGCGTTTGGGGTGAGCAGCTTTTAAAGCACAATATGAATGTTTGCAGAACCTACGTTAGGACTTATTTGAATGTCAATTAATAAATACTAGTATCGCCCAATTGTCGAAATTCGACATCTTTTTTCATATTTTTTTGAATTTTACCTGCCACCAATACTAACTCTTTTATGCGAATTACTATTCTGAAGTCCACCAGCATAATTTCTAGCGAATTTACAGGAAAACTTAAAATCGAATTATGAACGTTAATACCGGATTTATTAATGCAAATTGTACCGAGTATCCTCCAAATTTCTTCAGTAGCATTTGAAATTAGACAGAAAAAGGAACCTCGATTTTCCTATATAGATGAGATGTTCATCACTGCCTAATATGTCAAACATATACGAAATCAGACTGTAAATAAGTCTTTCGATTATATTTGTCTCAGAGCCCCTTGGAGGTTAAAAACTAAATTGCCAAATCTACATAAACTCTTTCTTTTTTTCATCAGAATCGTTAACGGTTGAGAAAGAATCTTGAAGGTTTACAACAGAAGATAATATTTCCTTCTCACACGGCGGTTTCACACGGGTTTTTTGTCAAGACTCGGCCAAAGCCCAATATTTTTTTAATACACGACTGGCCTACCAAGTTACACCAAATTTTATGTTACTAATATGTGTTCTAAAAGTGAAACAAATCTGATCATAAATATGATTTTAGCTGATGATAGCTCTCAATCCCTTCGCCACCTATCGGAAGACAAACACATTGATCCTTTTAAAAACTTTTGCACAAAACAACAATCATTCAACGCGATTTTAAAATCTGGGTGAAAATGGTTCCCAATTGAATGATTCTTGCGATTTTATATGTGTATAAATGTAAGTTTATAAAATTCCATTACCTTATAATAAGTGGCTCCAGAGATAAGCGATATGAGAATTTCAGTTTGTGTGGGCGGTGCCACGCCCCCCTTTCCAAAATCCACCACTCTTCGCCGAAAGTACGATATTGACAACATATGTTGCTGTGTCAAATATCAGGACGGTTCCAGAGATAAGCGATATGAGAATTTCAGTTTGCATGGGTGGTACTACGCCCATTAGTACGTTATTGATATCATAAATAGCTGTGTAAAATTTCAGGACATAAGCATAAGTGGTTCCAGAGATAATCGATATGAGAACTGCAGTTTGTATGGGCGGTGCCACGCCCCCCTTTCCAAAATCTACCACTTTTCGTCGTAAGTACGCTACTGATATCATACATAGTTGTGTCAAATTTCAGGACGTTAGCGTAAGCGAATCCAGAGATTAGCGATATAAAAATTTCAGCATGTATGGGCGGTGCCACGCCCCCCTTTTCAAAATCTACCACTCTTCGTCATAATTACGTTATTGATATCATAAATAACTGTGCCGAAATTCAGGACGTTATCATAAGCGGTTCCAGGGATAAGCGATATAAGAATTTCAGTATGCATGGGCGGTGCCACGCCCCCCTTTTAAAAATTTACCAACTCTTCGTCATAATTATGTTATCATAAATAACTGTGCCGAAATTCAGGACGATAGCATAAGCAGTTCCAGAGATAAGTGATATGAGAATTTCAGTTTGTATAGGAGGTGCCACGCCCACTTTCTCAG